TTCTTGTTTATTTTGTGGTTAGACTTATCTAGTGCCGAGAGGGGAGGTTCAGGTCCCCCACTAGTATAGTTTTGCTGTCTATTTCTTCCTGTAACTCCCTGAACTTCTCCTGTAAGAATTTGGATGCTATACCATTTGGTGCATATATATTTAGTAATGATATTACTTCATTGTCTATGGTGCCTTTTAGCAGGATGTAGTTTCCTTCCTTATCTCTTTTGATTAGATCTATTTTTGCTTTTGCTTTGTCTGAGATCAGGATTGCTACCCCTGCTTTTTTTACTTCAGCTGACGCATAATATATTCTGCTCCAGCCTTTTACCTTTACCCTGTATGTGTCACTCTTTTTCAAATGTGTTTCCTGTAAACAACATATTGTAGGATTATGGTTTTTAATCCATTCTGCAATCCATTTTTTTTATGGGAGAGTTCATCCCATTCACATTCACAGTTATGATTACTATCTGTGTCTTTTTCTCCATCCTTTTCCCCCTTTTATGCTTTTCTTTCTCCTTTTTCCTTTCCCCCTTCACTAGTGTTTTGCTTTTGACCACCCCTTTCAGTCCCTTCCCCCTTTTATTATCCCTTTCCCTTTTCTTCCCCTTTAGTCTTACTGCTGCTTCCCTCCCTTCTTTCCCCCCCTTTTCTTTCCCTCCCTTTTCTTTCCCTTTTCCCTCCTACTGCCTATAGGGCAAGTTAGATTTCTATACCTAACTGATTATATTATGCCCTTCTTGAGCCAAATCTGATGAGAGTAAGGTTCAAACAATGCTCCCCCCCTTCTTTCCCTCTGCTGTAATAGGATTTTGTGTCTTTTCCTGTAATGTAATTTACCCTTGTCTGCCTCCTCCTTTCTCAGTACATTTTCTAAGATCAGATTGACCCACTTATTTGGATCCATTTAACCCACTTGATTAGATTTTTTTTATCATTACATCAAAGTCAACTAATATCCACCCTCTTTATGTATACTCCTTTAACAAGGTGTAATAACAATACAGTTCTCAAGGGTTGCAAGTCTCATATTCCCTTGTAGGGGTTTAAACAGCCCCCCCCATTAACAACATATTGTATCCTTCTGTCCCATTTACCTTTTTAAGTCCTTCTTGAGTCCTGTACTTGAAGATCAAATTTTTTGTTGAGCTCTGGTCTTTTTATCAGGAAAGTTTGGAAGTCTCCTATTTCATTGAATATCCACCTCCTCCCTTGAAAAATGATGCTCATTTTTGCTGGGTAATTGATCCTTGGCTGCATTCCAAGCTCCTTTGCCTTATGGAATATCATGTTCCATGCCCTGCGGTCTTTTAATGTAGAAGCTGCAAGGTCCTGTGTAATCCTGACTGTGGTTCCATGATATTTAAATTCTTTCTTTCTGGCTGCTTGCAGCACCTTCTCTTTCATCTGGTAATTTTGGAATTTTGCTATTATATTTCTTGGTGTTGTCAATTTGGGATCCCTTTCTATGGTTACTTTCCCTTCTGGTTCTAGGACTTCCGGGCAGTTTTCCTTCATGATTTCCTGAAAGATACTGTCCAGGCTCTTTTTTTCATCATGATTTTCAGGTAGTCCAATAATTTTTAAATTGTCTCTCCTGAGTCGATTTTCCAGGTCGGTTGTTTTACTGATGAGGTATTTTACATTTTCATCTATTTTTTCATTTTTTTGTTTCTGTTTGACTGATTCTTGCTCTCTCATAGAGACATTAGTTTCCATTTGTCCAATTCTAGTTTTTAACAGATTGTTTTCTTCTGTTAGTTTTTGTACTTCCTTCTTCAACTGGCCAATTGTGTTTTTTAGGGACTTGTTTCCTTCAGTACTCTTCTGTTAGATTTTGTACTTCCTTCTTCAACTGGCCAATCGTGTTTTTTAGGGACTTGTTTTCTTCAGTGTACTCTTCTGTTAGTTTTTGTCCTTCCTTCTTCAATTGGCCAATTGTGTTTTTTAGGGACTTGTTTTCTTCAGTGTATTTTTTTTCCAATGGCCAATTGTATTTTTGAAGGACTCTTTTACCTCTCTCATTTGACTATTAAAATCCTTCTTGAGCTCTTCTAAGAAGGCTTTTTGGGCTTCAGACCAGTTCATATTCCCTTTTGTTGTTGCAGATGTGGGTTTGTTGACAGTGTTGTCCTCTTCAGAATTTCTGTCTTGATCTTCACTCTTCTCATAATATGAATCTATGGTACGTTTCTTTTTACCCATGGTGTTTCTTTATTCCCTGGCCTTTAAAGAGATTGAGCTCTCCTGCTGGGGAACAGAGGGTACTGACCCAAGCTTCTTGTGTTGGGAGCCTAGGTCTTGGTCACTGGCTTTGCGTGCTGGGGCCTCTTATGCTGGGAATTGGAGGCTGTAGGTTTCTGGCAGCTTACCTTGTGTTGGGCTGGAATCAGCAAGGCTGGAACTTTCAGGCAATTCTAGGTTGTCTGCTTTTCCTTTCCTTTAGCTTTCTTCCGCTCCTTTTAGATGGGTGCTGCAGGATGTTTATCTGCCTGGGGCCCCTGACAGTGTTGTCTCCCTCGTTTCTGCTAATGCACTGGGAGATTCCTTTGCAGTGGAGTGCTGAGGCACCTGGTGGTTTTCTGAGCTGGTTTCCACCGGTTCCCCCCCTCACTGAGGCACTCGGAGGTCCAAGTGTTGGTGTTTGCCTGCTCTACCACCTGGGCTTCAGGATTTCTTCACAATTGGAGTCTGCAGGGCTCCCACCACTCACCTGGTGTTGGGTTGGAATCAGCAAGACTGGGGCTTTAGGAAGCCTTTAGGTTGTTTTCTTCACCTCTGTTCAGATGAATGCCACAGGGTACTTGTCTGCCTGGGGCCTCTTGTAGTTCTGCCTCCCTTATTTTTGCTGAGGCACTGGGAGACCCGTTTGCTGGGCTGCTGCTTCTCGTCTTAATTCTAGTTCAGGTATTCCTGGGTTTTTTTTTTCTGGGGTGATATTTTCTGGGTTTTCAGAGATTGATAGGGGAGAGTGAGAGTGACTACCTTTTCACTCTGCCATCTTGGCTCCCGGAAGCGGAAGTGGATAATTTCTTGAAATATGACGTCCATGCTCTTTTTTTGATCATGACTTTCAGGTAATCCAATAATTCTATATTATTTCTTCACAATCTATTTTCCAGGTCAGTTGCTTTTCCAGTAAGATAGCTCACTTTTTCTTCTATTTTTTTTTCATTCATTTGATTTTGTTTTGTTGCTTTCTGATGTTTCATGGAGACATTAGCTTTCACTTGCCCAATTCTAATTTTTAAGGAATTATTTTTTAAGTGAATTTTTTTACCTCATTTTCCATTTGGCCAATTCTGTTTTCAAGGTGTTATTTTTGTAAGTATTTTTGTGCTTCTTTTACTAAACTGTTAATTTTTTCATAATTTCTTTGCTTTCATTTCTTTGACTAACTTTTCATTTACCACTCTTAAACAATTTTGAAAATTATTTTTTAACTCTTTCAGGAATTTTTTGGGGAGTGTGGCTTGTCTCCAATTCACATTTTTCTTTGAGTCTTTGCTTGTAGCTATTTTGACTTCATTGTCTTCTTCAGAGTTTGTATCTTGCTCTTCCCTGTCAACATCATTGCTTTTTACAGCCAGGTTTTTTTCATTTCAATTTTTGTTTTGTTTTGTGCTGTTTATTCACTTTCCCACTTTATTTCTTGATTTGGAAATTTATGTCACTATTGGATTCTGTTCTTGGTGAAGAGTGAGGGGAGGGGCACTGTCTCAAGCTTCAGGCTTTTCTGCACTTCTGTTTTCAGAGCTAGCTCTGGGAGTTTGGAAGTTTTTAGTGTTTACAAAGTGGTGTGGTGATCTTGGGAGATGTATGGTCACCGCTTTCTTGGCCTAAACTTTGGTCCCTATCCAGGAAGGGCCCCTGATCCCTTGGGATTGCAATCAATACTGCTTCTCTGGGCCCTACTTCCCTTGGGACCAGAATTGATACTGCTCCTTAGGGTTCTGATCCCTTGGGGCCAGAAGTTATACTACCCTTCAGGGCTTCCACTCCCTCTTGACTCAAAGTGCTCCTCACTGTCCTTGAACTATGACCCAGAAATGAATATAGTTAATTGAGCTGCCAAACAGTCCCTGGTCCTGCAACCAGTGCTAAAAGAGTGGTACCCTGTAATCTCTTTCTGACCAGTTGCCAGGTCCTCTTACTGTATCTGGCTTGAGAGTTTCCAAAGCTGCTGATGCTTCTAGTCCTAGCCCCACCTAGTCCTATCACTGGTGTTGCATGCATGGGGGCTCCAGGCTAGTCTCCACCCCCATGTCACAGATCTCTCTTTCTGACCTAAGTTATCTTGGGCTGGAAGAATGTCTAACTCTGACCCTTTGTTGGCTCTGCCACTCCAGAATTTGATCTGAGGCCTTATTTTAAAGATAGTTGGAGAGGAATGTTGGGAGAGCTGAGTGCTTTCCCATTCTGCCATCTTGGCTGAGTCATGTTCTCTTGATAAGACATCTAGGTGGTACAGTGGATAGAAAGCTGGACTTTGAGTCAAGAAGAGCAGGAATTGAATCCTGCCTCAACACTTGTTGGCTTTGTGACCCAGAGCAATTCACTTAATATTTCTCACCTTCAGTTTCCTCATCTCTAAAATGGGGATAATCACTTAAACTTTCTCAGCCTTAGTTCACTTGTATAAAAAAAAGTGGATAACTATACCACCTCTGTCATTGTGTTGTAGTAAGAATTAAAAGAAATTACACATGAAAAGAACTTTTCAAACCTTAAAGTAGTAGAAATGTGAACTATTCTTTGATATAATTTGACAGTCTTGAGGCGACATTGCCTTCTTAAAATCACACATTAGTTGCAAATAGTAAGTGCCTAATTATTGATTGTTGGAAAGAGATAAAGCAACATGCTCTGACCCATTTGGATTGCCCTGATTTTTAATGCCTAGGGATCCCTTTGCAGATTCATGATGCTTTATGTTGAAATACAGATATAAAATGATCCCCCACATCATAGTGATGAATTTTTTTTTAAATACACAGACAAAATGCTTCCAATGTGGACAAAGTATTTAATTACAAATAACATTCAGATACAGAGGTCTGAGCACTGTCATGTTAAGCCATAGAGATGTTCCCAATTGCCTTGGAAACATGAACATAGGTACACATCAAACAGGAGAAGTGGCTGATGGAGTCATTCCTAATAATCATAAGACAGACATGAACAGTAAACATGGAGATGCTCTCAGAGAAATAAATTATACCCAGTTATTTGCAGGATACAAGCACTTAAATTTATTTATGTGTACTTTCCCTAAATACTTTCATTTCCGCTATGCAATATATTCTCACAGCACACACATCTTCCTTTAGACATTTTTAAACTTTGACTATCACCCATTCTGCTATAAAATTTTGTGGATCTTTGGGTTGCAAACTGCATTTAAATTAATCCCTTCCCGTGACTTTATTCCATCTGTGCACAGTGGGAGACCATCTAACAGAGCACAGAAGAGATTGCTTTCATTCTTCTGCTAATATCTACCCCATCCGTCACAGAAAGTATAACATATTGAGATTCTGGAATAAAAATTTCAGTATCAGTCACCATATTCCTCTGCCAATCCTCTGCTCTGCTATTTCATCTAGACGACATAAGCATTACTATTAAGAGGGTAGGAGATGGCATAGAGAAGTTTGAGCAAAGGTGAAGTACCTTTTCTCTCTCCTATAAATCTCATCTCTTTTCCCCAATCATTGAATGTTAGTGATAGAAAGGTCTGTAGTTGGCATCTTAAAATTTTAAAGATGGAAAAGTCATAAGGACTATGATAAGGCTTGTCATATCTGAAGTGGCTTTATTGACTATGTGTCACAAGGCTTGAAAGAGAAATTACTTCATACACACATATACACACACACACTTTTCGCTACACGATCGCAAAGATTGCCTTCATTATTATGTGTTCAAATTTCAAAATATTAGAAAAAAAATTAAATGAGGCTGAGAAGGAGAAGAATTTGTGTGATTTTTATGACACATTAAAGAAAAAAGTCATAGCTGGCTTGTGGGTGGAATAATCTTTCCCAAAATGAGTAAAGGATACTAATGAAGACATAGAGCTTGGGATTTCAACAATATTATCAAATGGTATTTGTCATACCCTAGGGCTCGCCCTAGACCGTGAGCCAAGGGCCAGTCCCAAAGAGAACTGCCTACAGTGTGGATGAACCTCATCTCTAGGGTCCAGTGATTTTGCCTAATGTTCATGATGATATTGAAGAAAAACAAACAAGAGTACCTCATGCCCACAGGGCCTGATTTATTTCAAGACTTGAGATGGTGAAAGGAATTCTTGGTGTTCCCAAAGGATTTCTGCATAGAAGAGGATAAATATCATCCACCACTACCCTGTAATTCAGGAAAAAAATGACCTGAAAACTTGCTCTTGAGAAATCTCAAATCTTTTTTTAAACAGTAGTTTTATATACTTTTACCCTATCCATGTTCTAGTATCAGTGAGAACTATAAATGACCACTGTCCTAGCACTTTGTTTTCAATTTGCCTTAGTAGTACTTTAACTCTACCCCCATGAGAGCCTCTTTCTTTCTATTTCAAAGTAATCTGAAATGGTAGTCCCTCCCTTTCCCATCATGTTGTTTGTTTTGTTTTGTTCCTGGAAGATACTAAATCAGGGACTTCGCAGTTGGTCAATCAAACTCACTTCTACACAGATGCAGAAAGGCAGAAGTGAAAGAAAAAAAAAGCTAGAATATTAAGCCACAGGAAGAAACTGGGCTTCAAACTGTACCTGTAATTTCAATGTCACTTTTCTTCCTCTGATATATTTAAGGGGCACTGCCAAAATATAGACTTGGTCACCTAATGCTCTTCAAAGCAATCCTGGTCAGCTACTGTGGCATCATACTACCTCTAGGTGCTAATTGCGCTTTGGTTGGCTTTGTTGATAATGTTGCAGTGGGACACATTGGATTCTAAGAGGAAGGCTGGAAACAGAGCAGTACTAAGAGCAAGACCAGGGGAGCTGGGCTATTTCTTTTCATGCTTCTTGGTGAGCTTCCCCATCCCTAGCTGCAGTCTGCTCCTGCTGGTTGTAGTACGTTCTTCCTTTTGTTGGCTTTCCTGGGAGACTTGTTGTACAGCTCGTAGGATGGCGTTTTGGACAATCTGCTTGCTGGCATTCTGTAATTTTGCTTCTTCGGGTTCAGATCCAGGTTTCTCACCTAGAAAGTTATAACAGGGAAAAAGAGGGAGCTAATTTCAAAAGAAACATCACCACATAACAACAAATTTTATTAAGCACCTACTATGTGCCAGGTGCTTGGAATAAAAATGTAAAAAATGAAACAATCCCTACTCTGAAGGGGGTTATATTCTAAAGGAAAAACAGGTAATATAAATACATGCAAAATAAATATAGAGAGAATAAATACAAAGCAGTTAAAATACAGGTCATTTACTCCAAATGTCATTCAGATATTCATTCTGCAGGGAGGTTCTCACTTTTTCAGAGATTGTAGGAGCAGGAAGCCACTAATTAGTCTCTTCCTTTGGTAGACACCCATCTCCATGATGTCAAAACAATGTTAGTCAATAAAAGTTTCAATAAATATGAAGACCTCAGCTACTGGGATAAGGACTCAATATCTGATAATTAAAAAAAACTGCTAGGAAAATTGAACAGCAGTATGGAAAAATTAGATTTGGATGAACACCTCAGACTTATATAAAGATAAGCTCCAAATGGGATGTTTTACCTTATATAGAGTCAAATCATAGAAAAATGAAGAAACATGGAATAAATTATCAACCAAGTCTATAGAAAGCAAAAAAAAATTATAACAAAACAAGAAATAGAGAAGATCATGGCTGATTGAAAATTAATAATTTTTGCACAAATAAATCCAATAAAGAATAAGATATAAACAATTAGAGTGAAAACTTCACAGCAAGTTTCTCTGATAAGGTCTAAAATATGAGAAACTGATTCAAATTCATGTGAATAAGAGCCATTCCCCAGTTAATAAATAGTCTAAGAATACTGATAGGCAGTTCTCAAAAGAAGAAATGATAATCACAAGTGTTCATTAAACCATATAATCTCAGAGTTGGAGCAGACCAAAAGGTCATCTAGTCCAGAAGCATCAAATACTCCAACCCACATCATTCCTGAGTATAACCTGTATCAGATTACAGTGTAGTTCCTATCTGATTTTAATGTGTTGATATATTAATGAAAAAAGAAAGAAATGTGTGGTTCTTTAAATCAATACATGAACCACAGTGGTCCTTATGCATAATTTAGAAGCTCCCATTTCTATTCAAAATTGACACCACTGATCTAGTCCAACCACCTGCCTGAAACACAAATCTTTTCATTTATAGCATCTCAACAAGTGGCTAGTTATCCTGTTAAAACACTTCTAGGTGGTGCAATGGATAGGATGCCAGGCCTGGAATCAGGAAGATTTATTTTCCTGAGTTCAAATCTGGCCTCAGAGGTGTACTAGCTGTGTGAGCCTGGAAAAGTCACTTATCCCTGTTCACCTCAGTTTCCTCATCATAAAATGAACTGGAGAAGGAAATGGTAAACCACTCTAGTACCTGCCACGAAAACTCCAAATAGGTTCACAAAGAGCTAGACACAACCGAAGCGACTGAACTGCGATAGTAATGAAGAAGTTAGTGAGCAGCTGAGTACTTTGACAGCTCTAATTGTTAGAAAGTGAGAAAGTTCTTGCTTTTGTGGAGTAGAAATATCCATCTACCAAAAAGTCTCTTTGATGGCCTGGTATCACATAGTAATTCACTCATTCAACAAGCATCTATTAAATGTCTATGACATCACACTGTCTTTTATACAACTGATAGGTAAAAATAAAATAGCCTCACAAGCAAATCATTTCTGAGCCCCAACACATATATACCACATATACCACACACACACACACCTAATATTCCCCTTTCTTATTAGTTTCATTGTAGGTAGGGTCTTATCAGTGAGCTAATTCCTGGGAAACTTCTCACCAGCCCAGCTACTGACTTCAGGGAGACACTTTAAGCAGACTTTTTAGTTTGCCCATTATATGGTTAAAGTTTGTTTCATTTAGTCAGATCCAGGCAAGGAGAATTTATTGATTACTTTCTATGTGCTATGCATTGGGAATGAAAGCAAATGCAGTCTATTTACTCAAGAAGCTCCATTCAAATATGAGAGAAAATGTAAATAAGTAGGTACATACATATGAGATTATATAGAATATATGGAAGTTAATCTCATAGAGAAAGACATCTGTAACTAAAGGGACCAGGGATGGGGAAAGCCTCCTGCAGAAGATGGAATTTGAGCTGAGTCTTAAAGGAAGTCAGGGAAGCTAAGAGACAGAGGAGAAAGGGAGAGTAAACTCCTGGGAACCCATTTCCTTAACCATTTTTCATGGCCTCTATGTGTCCACACGAAATGAAAGTGCATTCTGGCTTTAGGAAGGCTTCTACTAACTGAACACCTGAACATGCCAAACTTATTTGAATTTCATTCAACTTGTCTAAAGAGACAAACACCAGATTAAATAAAGGCCTAGAATTCAATGCAAAATACTGAAGAGACTAACACATTATCCATGAGAAAGAAATAAAGATTCAAACAAATACGTTTTCCAGGAAAAACTACTGTTGCACAGAGCTGCCAGCTGAAGAAGGACAATTTGAGGGAGATAACAAGGTAGAAATCTATGCTGTACTTGAGGTTTGAGCAAGGTTTTAAAGGTCAGATCTCTGCTCTTGAAAATAGTTATATAACCAAGCAACATGGTTGTTAAAACTAAAGTATCATAGAATTTCATAACTGGAAAGGTTCTTAAAGACTACTGAATGCATCCCCTCTCATTTTCCAAGTGAGGGAATGTGAAGACCAGAGAGGTCTCCTGTCAAATATTTTCTCTGCTGTGTGTGTGGATGGGTTGGGGAATAGAAGAGGAACAGAGACAAAACAAACAAAACGCAAAAAAAAAAAACAGGCTGACTCCTAAGTAATAGGGAAATAGAAGTGAAGAGAAGTCTGCTTAATTTTGTTTCAATTGCATGTTTCAGTGACAGTGGCAAGGCTAAAAGAAATTTGGGTGGGGGAGGGAAAAGAATGGAAAGTAAAAAAAAATTCTTAAGGGCAGTAATAAAACTAACCTAAAAAATTGCTAGACCCATCCATGATATGTTAATAACCACATGGTCCTATTTCATGCTCCTGGAAAACTGTCATGGAGAGCAATGATTATCAGCACACTCCATTACAGTACCTAAAGGGTAAATGACAACTGGGCAGAAAGCAGGACTATTTATTAAAGTGTCAAGGAGGTCACTCTGTTGTGATCTACCAAATGCTCTGAAACTGCTTGAATTTAATTCAATTAGTCAGTGAAGAATAACCTATGACAATGTGTATGTTTTATTACCTAGCTGAAAATTATGGAAATAGCCCATATCCAAATAATTAGCCCTTGCATGGCTACTTTCATATCCTGCTGAGAATGATGAATAGATTTAGTTACCATTCCATTTTTAAATGCGTAACATAAATTCACATAAACAAAAATAAGCCTCAGACAAAGGCATGAAGTAAACAACATTTATTCTCAGCATCTTTGATATCTTTCTTATTCCAGGCAGTATCCCAGCAGTATATTGTCTGTCTGTCTCTCCCTTTCCTCATTCTTTCTACTTCTTCCTGTCCATTCTTCCCTTTGCCTCTCTCTCTCCTTGTCTCTCTTCCTCCCTAGAATTGATTAGGCCCCCCCACTCCATCCCAACTCTCTCTCCCTCTCTGTTTCTTTGTCTCTCCCTCCATTTTCCTCTCTCTCCCTGACCCCTACCACTGAAACTTAGTTGTCCTTTTGTCTTTAAGGGGAGAGCTATCAGCTGTCACATTATAAAATAAAAATTACGTTGCAATGATGTTAATGACTAATCACAACTCAATGTGTTTGCCTTTTGTGGTTATCTTCATCTTATAAGACTGATATAGCCCAAAGAACTAGTTGGATCTCTGAAAGATCGATAGAAAGTCAAGAAATAGTATTAGCAAGAAGAATTGACATTTCTAGTGTTTTAGTATTTGTGGAGCCTTTGTATACATTCTCTCATGTGATCATTGAAACAACTCTTTGAGATAAGTAAATTTATGATCTGGTCTTTGAAACCCCAGCATCCTATGCACTACAGCTTGCTGCCTCTCAAGAAAGATATCTTTGAGATAAGAGGGCCCTTGTTATAGACTCTTTAAATCACACCAGGTTAAGTGCTATCCAAAAGAATCTTTACAAAAGGCCAACCTTGCCCATAGACATTTTTTCACTCCCATTTTAGGGTAGGACTAAGGACAGAAACAAACACATAAGAATAGTGATTTCTAGGATAGCCAGGATGAGAACAAAATCCAATAACTTTAAAATTACTGCTGTATCTCCTCCCCAAATAAAATGAGATAAGTCTTAAGATATCTAAGCAACCAAAATTAACCAACTCATCATGTCTGAAGTGATATCAGCTCTACTGTAATGTGGTCCCAATTCAAAAGTTAATATAGATCTGATATTGGTTTGATTCAAACATGGATTCACCTTCAGCCTGGCTGCTAATCTCCAAAGGCACTTTTTCCATCTCTGAGGTTAACTGTTGACCACCATCCATATTAATAATTAAATAGTGATTTTCCTCTCAAGAACTAAAGCCATTTTCACATTTATTCTCACACTTCCATTGCAATGTACAAGGTCAAATGGAGCAAGTGTAGTTCATCTATTTTTGCCTTGTTTGGAAAATGAGCCTAGGAAAAGCTAGACTTTCCTTTTCTCTAGTATGGAAAAGACAAGGAAAGCCTAGTCTTTCCCATACGCCAACAGTAGTAGGGCTAAGACAAGAACTATGATCTCCCAAATTCTTTGCATACTGGAAATTACAATGTTAACAATTCCTATCAGAACAAAAATACAAACTTCTCCACACAGACATGCACTGCATTCTCCTCCAATGCCTCAGCACACAGGGACCTCAGCTATGTTTGCAGAACACAAGATCTGGCTGGTCCCAGAAAGATGATAAGACTTTGGTTACAAGCCTAGTAATGAACTGTTGTCATCCAAGGACAAGTCTCAATAGGCTTCTAACACCAGGGAAAGAATTTTTCTCAGCCCAAAGGCAAATCATGAACTTTTTATTAAAGAAACACAAT